TTCCAAGTCATCAATGACGGTCCGAGAGAGCTCCTTGGCACAAAGTGGCGGAATAAGTAGCTCAACTCTGCCAAAGATTTGCTGACATGCTCCGGGACATAGCCTCGAACCATCGCCGGAAGAAGCCGCTCAATCCATATGTGGTAGTCATGACTCTTCATCCCGTTGACTCGCAGAGTGCCTAAGTTAACTCCCCTCTTTAGATTCATTTGCATACCCATCGTGGAACATTAGCTTCTTGATCCATTCAAGTACTTCCTCCTTTGGTCCTTTTTCAAGACAAAATCAGCCTTTAGGCCTTCTCCAAGTCTTGCCACGACTAGGAGGTTGCATCTCTTGATTTGGTCTATCGCACAACGTTGCTGGTCTACTCTAGCCTTTGGGTTGTCCTTAGACTTTTCGGTGTCCATGAGTGTTGCCCAAAGTGCCTCGGCGACATTCTTTTCAAAGTGTGCATTACATCAATGTTATGTGGTAGAAGAAGGTCATCGAAATAGGGAGCCTCGTCATGCCCGAGATATGAGTCCACATATCTTGCTCACCATATCCCACAAAACCACCTTCTTCATTGGGCACGAGAGCACCTATCGAGCATGAACCTCGGCACCATTCATCATCCATGGTGCGGGGTTTGTCACTTTGACGCCTTTCGTAAAGTTCTTGATGTCTTATGCGAATGGATGGTCAAGAGGTAGGAATTGACGATGTCTATCAAACGAGCGAATACTTGCCACCCTTACGCAACCAAATAAACCTCACACCTTCCTTGCATATTGGGCATGGGAACTTCCCGTGAACACACCAGTATGAGAATATCCCATACGCCAGGAAGTCATGCAGGGAGTAGTGGTACCAAACGTGCATTTTGAAGGTTGTCTTTGTAGCTCGATCGTATGTCCATACCCCTTCGTCCCAAGCATGGACCAATTCATCAAATACGGGCTCCATGAACACACCCATATTACTCCCTGGGTGTCCAGGAATTATCAACGACAAGAATACGTTATGTCGTTGAAAGGAGACACCAGGGGGAGATTAAGGGGGATAACAAAGACGGGCCAACATGTGTATGGGGCAGCCATCATTCCATAAGGATTGAACCCATCTGTTGCCAACGCGACACGTACATTACGAGCCTCATCTGCTTTGTCACGATGTTTGTCATTAAAGCGGATCCAAGCTTCACCATCGGATGGATGTACCATCTTGTCAGGATTGTACCGTTTGCCATTTTTGTGCCATGTCATCTGTTTCACGGATTCCTCGGTCATGTATAGCCGTTGGATCCTCGGTAGGAACGGAAGGTACCGTAGGATTTTCATGGGGATCGTAAGTTGCCTCTTCTAGCCATCATCAGAGTCTACCTCCAGGTACCTGGAGGATTTACACTTTGGACAGAACTTTGCATGCTCGTGTTCTTTCCTAAATAGGAGACACCCTTTCGGACAAGCATGTATCTGCTCATACGGCATCTTAAGTGCTCGAAGGAGTTTCTGTGACTCGTACATGCTCTTCGGCAGAATGTGGCCCTCCGGAAGCAAGGTGCCAATCACGGCCAACATCTTATCGAAGCTAGGTCGACTTAAGTTTAACTCGGACTTCAACCCCATTAAGCGTCCAATGGCATCCAGTTGAGACACCGTTGACCGATCGTGAAGGGGTTTCTGTGCCGAGTCCATCATATCGTAGAATGCCTGTGCGGCTGCTTCCATCTCCTCCTTCTCACGTCCCTCATCGAACTGTCCTTGGTGAAAGTCATCTAACATGTCTGCTACCCCGGCATCAGCATCAAAAGCCTCCACCCGTGGTCTCACCACCTCCTCTCTCATACGATGGGCTTCACCATGGTGGACCCACGGTGTAGTCCGGCGTAAATCCATTCTTCACAAGATGTTTACCCATTTCCACCTTGTTTACCCTTCTCCTGTTTCCACATTTGCTGCGGGGACACAAAACTAGGCAATGTCCTTTAGCGGCGTTGCCAAATGCACTTTATTCAAGAAAGCATCGGTCTTGTTCATCCATTCCGTGGTGTAATCACTCGACTTCTCCACCCGTGTACATCCACCGACGGTCATCCATCCTCTAACATATGTATCGTGAGTAATGTAACCATTAATTGCATGTACATGGTGTTCCTCTTGTCTAATAGGTGAGGATAGGTCCTAATCCCACCCAGCAGATGTGTAGATGAGGTTAGTTTCCATGCTCTACTCCTATCCGAGGCAGAATTTGGAAGCATTCCCCATTGTTCTCCGGATACACGCCCTACCAAAGAAGAGTGTGTATCCGGAGAACAACAGGAGGTGATGCCGAAAAATCTGTCTCTGACTAGAGCAGTAACATGGAAACTAACCCATCTACGCATCCATGGCTGTCCAAAAGCGTGGACAATCCGAAATAGATACGGTCATAGATATGCAAAGATCGCATACCTCCAACCGTATCTCTTTCGAACGGGAGACGCCTAACCGGGTTACGTGATCTCACGACAATGATATAAAAAGAGGGGTTATACCTAGGGTGGCGATGGAGTCGGGGCTAAGAAGGGGCGTGGCGGGTCGGTGTGAGTGGCGAGACGACGCGGTGTGCAGCGGAGACCGACACGGTGGCGAGAACTCCGACTCAACTCTCGACGGGCTCTTCTCTACAAAAATGGAACAAAATATTGTTATTTACAAAAAAATGGCAGAACCTCCCCGCACGGTGAGGTTTCCAAACTCAAGAAAAAAACAACGGCACGATGGCCGACAAGCACATATGGCTCAATGAAGCCATGTAGTTTGGATATCAATCCATGTAGAAGAATATATCCAAGTAGTACCTCTACTTGTACTACTACTACCACTACTTCTACTACTACTACTACCACTAATTTACTACTAATACTACCACTAGTTGTACTAATACGCCACTAGTACAACTAATACTACTACAACTACCACTACCTCCACAATAATAAGTGAGAAGGCATACCGACGGCAGCGGTAGGGTAGGGGCGTCGGGATCGGGTGAGTCGAGGATGGGGTCGAGCACGGATGGCGTCAGGGTGGTGGTCCACGGGCATGGCCAGGCGGGCAAGGTAAGGAAAAAGGCGCAGGCGGGGCGCAGGGCCGGGGGTCTGGGTCGGCGCTTGGCTGGGGAAGGGCTGGCGGCAGACGGTGGCTGCCGGGCGAAGTATGGCGTGTGGGCGGGGCGGGCGCTGCCGAGGGCGTGGTGGCCGAGGGCACGGGCATGAGGGCAAGGCGCGGCTGTGGTGGGGTGCTGGCGATGCGGTAACGCTGGCGTGCGGGCGACGCGGGCGGCGCGTATGGCGGGCGTGGGCGGCGCGGGTTATGGCGGGCGGGCGTGGTGGCTGGCTGGCGGGCGCAAGGTGGTATGGGTGGAATGCGTAGTGGCGTTAGGGAAGGGGCGCGGGTGGCATGCACTGGGCGGTGGCGAGGTGTGGTATGGCGGCGGGCGGTGGCGTGGAATTTGGCGTGGCGAGTGGGGCTGGAGGCGGCAAGCGTTATGCGCGGGTTTGGCTCGGGCAATGATCGCCGACGGTCAAAAACTGGTGTCCTTGGCTTTGAGTCTGCCGGATCGAGGGAGGCACTCGGCAAAGATTTTTTTTTTTTTAATTTTTTGCGAGTGCCCCGGATCGGCACTCGGCAAAATTTTTTTTTTTTTTTTTTTTAAATTCTTTGCCGAGTGCGTCTCGGATCTGGCGGCAAGAAGAAAATTTTTTATTTTTAAAAATACTTTTGTTGAGTGCTCCTTGGGCACTCGGCAAAGATTTAATTTTTTTTTTTAATTATTTCTTTGCCGAAGTGCCAAAGTATGCGCGCTTTTTGAAATTTTTTTAAAAAAATTAAAATGTTTTTTACAATGCTTGTGACATGCACATCTCCACATCAACGTGATATCACATGTGGAGATGTCATGTTTGTAAGCATCGTGACGTGACAACGCAGTAATTTAAAATCTTCTGAAATTTTTATCATAGCCTCCACATATGATATCACGACATCTCAACAAGTTTCATGATTTTTGACTTCGCTTGCATTTTGTAGAATTTATAAACACTTCACACGCAATTTCGCTTGACATGTTTTTCGAAATTAGATATCCAAATTTTGGGTCCGTCTCTCGATAATGGAGTCTCATAACACACACTAACATGACTATCAATTTTAATCATTAAACTCCATTATTCATGCATATCACGTGGAGCTCAAATTTCTAATTTCCGTAAAAATTCAAGTAAACGTAAATAAAGTAACTAAATATAACAAAAAGCCACAAAAAAATCTTCAAATTGTAACTAGGAGTTCCGGTGCTTTAAAAAGGTCGCATAAAAAAATTGGAGGCTAAAACAAAAAAAAAAAAACTTTGTTGAGAGTGTGTGGGGCATGGCACTTTGGCAAGAGTGTCTTTTGCCGAGTGCGGCCCTCGTGCACTCTAAGAAAGAATGTTTTAATTTTTTTTTAATTTTCCTTGCCGAAAGTGCATACATGTGGAGCACTCGGCAAAGAAATAATTAAAAAAAATTTAAATCTTTTGCCCGAGTGCCGCCAGTGAGCACTCTCGGCAAAGTATTTTAAAAAAAAAATTTTTTTTTGCCGAGCGCCAGATCCGAGACGCCGGCAAAGAATTTTAAAAATAAAAAATCTTTGCCGAGCGCCAGATCCGGGGCACTCGGCAAAGAAATTAAAAAAATCTTTGCCGAGTGCCTAACGCGCAGCGCCAAGTAAAGAAGGGCGTGGCACGGCGCCGCTTCACGGGCAGCCTATGCCGAGTGTATAGATTTTTTGCCGAGTTTGGCGCCGGCAAAGAAGTCCTTTGCCGAGTGCTGTGTTTGCCGAGTGCGGCGGCGGCAAAGAAATCTTTGCCGAGTGTAATTCTTTGCCGAGTGCAGCACTCGGCAAATAAGATCTTTGCCGAGTGTCCGATTTTTGACACTCGGCAAAGAAATTTACACTCGGCAAAGTCTCTGTTTCCAGTAGTGTAAGAAGGCTCACATGGGTAAGCGAATTGCTGTGCGCAAGATGTCGACTACTCGTACTACTTATCTTCATCCCAATCTGCTTGGAAAGGAGTCGGAGGGTAGCCGGCGTCAACAGCCGGGTACCCAGGGGACAGGTATCCCCGTATCCGACTACTTTCTCTTTGTTGTACAGCTCATTCTTGTACTGAACGATGCTTGTTGTCTTGCAGTTGAAGCCGAGATGGCAACGGATCTAGTAGTAGAGAAGGCTTCCACACTCGGGGCGAGTACTCATCCTCGACTAGAAGAAACGTCTTCGCCCGGAACAGAGGAACAGCCCCCGGTGACGGAAGCCGCCGGAGATAAGATGTGCCCGCCCTCGAAGAAGAAGAAGGTGCTGAAGCCTGAAGGTTCGGTGTCGCCCAAAGATGCTTGCCACAAAGTAAGTACCCGGCTGCTGCAAATATCTTTAATTTGATTCTGTCGTTCGTGACTATACTTCTGCTTATGAAACTGTTCTTCTTGTCAGAACACCATTGCCGCCGCCGGAGCTTCGCAGCGCATCCCTACCAACCCAGGGGGATGAATCGTTTCTTGAAGGGAATCTGATTGCCAGCTCAGCTGGGCCGACCTCGGATGCCACGGGAGAACGGATCGGTAGCAAACAAAGAAGCCCCCCCACTGCCTCGCAACCAGAGTCTGCTCCGTCTGACAGAGCACTCGGGTGGGGGAGGCGATGATGCAGAAGGTAGCGCCCGCCCTCAGGAGCCAACCACGGAACTGAGTAACCCCTCAGGTAGCGTCCGCCCTCAGGAGCCAGCCGAGTGGCTACGATCAATGGCAGAGAGAACCAAGGCCTGGCGACTTCATCCCTGAGCGGAAGGAGAGCCGGGATCCATGTAGAGAGTTACAACTCGGATTTAGCGCGTCTCAAGGCGTGCTGGTCCGAGATGTGCGCTAAAGCGTCAGACTTCGGCGCCCTTGTAGAGGTAATCGTTGTCATTTGTTTAATATCCTCAGTTCCAGGCTACTTCCGAGTAAATCCTGACCGAGTAAGTTGCATGAACTGCAGGCCTTAGATCTGAAAGCTTCTGAGCAGGCCAAGAGGATCCACCAAGATTTGTCTGCTTTCGTGTTGTAAATTGAAGCCAAACACACTGAGCAGGTGAAGTATTATCAACAAGTAAAACAGGAGCTCATCGATGCTAAGGCACGGCATGCCGTGTCCATACGAACTTTGCAAGCGCAAGTGGCTGAGGTGGAAATGTAGAATGCGGCCATTCAGGATCAACGGGACGCTGCCCTCGCCCGTGAAAAAGGAGATCCGGGAGAAGACGAAAGAGGTCAAGGAAGCCTTCAAAAAGAAGAGTGACGCTTTGGTGAAAAAAATATGAAGGTGAGTCCTTCAGAACCATATCCGCTGGTCTTGCCCCCGTTCTTACAGTAGTCGTCTGATCTTATATACTCTTTTTTGTTGACATAGATGCTGAAGCAAGGGCAAAGCAACATGGGCAGTAGGCAACCGACTGGCAATTAGCATTCAAACCTAGGGATACGGCCCAATTCTTATTTGATGAGGCCAAGCTGATCCGTGAGGGCGCTGACCGGGATCTTCTGCAGGCGCTGAAAACCACTCGGCAACAAGAAGAAAATCTGGCCGCTGTAAAGACCGAGTTGAAAGATCTGCAAGAAGCCGTAGAGTCCACCCTTGATCTGATCCCGGAGGAGGAGGATGGCGAGGCATCTCTGCTTGAACGCGCCAAGATAGCACCCGGCCGCCTAATGCAGTATGTCAAGGACATGGCTAAAGCCATCGTGAAGAGTCTGCTAGGGATCCTTCATGCCCACATGCCAAGGGCTGAGTTGACCGTGATCCTTAAAAGGCCGGAAGGTTGCACTAACAAGGAACTAGCTGCCGCAGAGGGGCGAATAGATGATTTGGCCACATCTTATGCGGGTAGCCTAGATCTTGAAGGATGAACCCTGTATCAATGCCTGCCCTATACGAAGGAATCATGTAGTATTATAAATTAATGAAAAGACATGGTATGATCTCTATGGATGTGCTGTCTTTTTCAAAAAGAATCCTCTTTGAACTCTGTCTGACTAGACTTGTAGTTGTTTGCCGAGTAAGATGCTTCCTGTGTAGAAGGCTTTTTAGGAGACTGTAGTTGTTTTGTGGACATAGTCATTTTGTTTGAAGGATGTAGTCGACCGTGACCGTGAGCGCTACTGACTTAGATGTCATGTAGGACGAGTCTATCCTTAGTGCTTTGCTAAGCATGGACATAGTCGACCGCATCTCTAAAGGTGCGATGGCCGTAAAGGATGAGTCGGTCCTGTGCGCTGTATCAAGTGCTCTGAAACAGAGGACTTAGTCGACCACATCTCTACAGATTCGATTATCATGTAGGATTAGTCGGTCTCTCGTACTTGGTGTCGCAGCTATGTGCGGACCAGACATATTAGTCCGGGTTGACAGGAACTAGCTCAATGGCTATGTGTCAGGGTGCGACTTGTACTTGTCACAGAGATGTGCGGTGGCGTGATAGCCGACCAATCTCTTAAATGGACGTAAAGTAGCAGCATGGCTACAAGTCCGAAGGCTTGAACAACATTTAGTTGTGTGCCAAGTAGTTGGAACCTTTGGCGGACCAAAGTGTTCTTTTAAGGGGGTGATGCGAGTAGACGGCTTGTCTAGCGACTAACAACCCTTCTTTATTAGTGACCAGGAACTGTATTTACAATTGCAAAGCTTAATCTACCACTGTCTTGACTGAAGAACTCAAGGATAAAACCTCCGTAGGTGCTCAATGTTCCAGGAGTTAGGGACTTCAGCCCCATCTTCAGTAACTAACTCGAAGGCGAGTAACCTTGGAGACAACAAATGGCCCCTCCCATGGGCACATCAGCTTGTGACGGCCTGTGGTGTTCTAGATGCGTCGCAATACCAAGTCGCCGATTTGAAATGTATGGGGTTGGACATGCTTGTCATAATACCGCCGTAAGCCTTGCAAATATCTAGTCGACTAGAATAAAGCTACGATTCTAGCTTCTTCTGCACTATCAATTTCTAGTCACCGAGTATCATCAGCTTCTCCTTCATTGTACTGCTCGATCCTCGGGGAGTTCTAGATTAAATCTAATGGCAAGATTGCCTCAGATTCGTAGACCAGAAAGAAAGGAGACTGCCCTGTTGCTCTACTCTGCTGAGTATGTAGCCCCAAACCACTTTGGGTAGCTCTTCCATCCACTTTCCTCCATAATCTTTGAGGACGTTGTACAGCTTGGGCTTGAGTCCGGCTAGCAATAAGCCGTTGACTCTCTCCACCTGTCCATTGGCACGCGTGTGAACTACTGATGCATAGTCGATACTGATCCCGCAGTCCTGTGCCCAAGCTTTGAACTCGGCAGCGGTGAAGGGCGAGCCCAAATTTGTGATAATCCGATTGGGCATTGCCGAACCAATGCATAATGCTCTACATGAATTCAACTGCCTTAGCTAAAGTAAATTTGACCAGCGGCTTGTACTATATCCACTTTGTAAACTTGTCAATAGCCACGTAGATGTACTCGAAACCGCCTGGTGCTTTTTTGAGCGGTCTCACCATATCTATCCCCTAGTAGGAGAAGGGCCATGATGGTGGAATGCAAAATCATATTATGTGCGGGCACATGAGCTTGTCTGGCAAAGAATTGACAATCCTTGCAATGTCAGACTAAGTCCTCTGCATCCTTGAGCGCTGTTGGCCAGTAGTAGCCAGATCTGAAAGCCTTGCTGACTAGGGTTCTAGAGGCGGCATGATTACCGCAACATCCTGCATGAATCTCGTCAGGGATTTCTTTGCCCTCTGCGAGTGTAATGCACTTCAGAAGAACTCCAGATGATGCACCTTGTCGGTATTGCTTATCGCCGACTAAGACTTAGTTCTTGCTCCTCTAGGTGACTTGTTCTGCTTCGACCTTATCAGCTGGCAGCTTATGATCTCTGATCTAGTCGATGAACACCTGAGTCCAATCTGGAACGATCACCATAAGCTGTCTGTCGGGCATCAGCGTGTTGACTGGGTCTGCGGTCTGCTCCTTGATGGATGATTGACTAAGTTCTTGAACGAATACTCCGCTGGGTACCTCTGCTCGGTCTAACCCAAGTTTGGCTAGTACATCAGCCGCAACGTTGAGATCGCGCATCACATGGTGGAATTCCATCCCCAAAAAATGCTTCTCGAGCTTGCGGACCTCGGTGCAGTAGGCATCCATATTTTCCTTCGTGTAGTCCCAGTCCTTGTTGACTTGATTGATCACCCCATAGGAATCGCCGTAGATGAGTAGGCGCTTTATGCCGAGTGAAGCAGCCAGGCGGAGCCCGTGCAACACTGCCTCGTACTCGGCTTCGTTGTTGGTAGTGGACCAAAGGATCTGCAACACGTACTTGAGTTGTTTTCTGGATGGCGAGATGAAGAGAACTCCTACTCCTGCCCCTCTGAGTTTTAGCGAACCATCAAAGTACATCTTCCAATGCTCTGGTGTGATTGATGAAGCTGGCTGCTGGATCTCTATCCACTCAGCCACAAAGTCGGCCAATGCTTGAGACTTGATGGCCTTCTGTGGCGTGAAATCGATATGAAGAGCCCCCAACTCGACTACCCACTTGGATATACGTCCTGTGGCATCATGATTGCATAGGATGTTGCCGAGTGGGTAGTCGTACTACCAATATCTTGTGACCATCAAAATAGTGGCGAAGATTGTGAGATGTGATCAACAGAGCGTAGAGTAGCTTCTGAACATGTGGGCAGCGGACCTTGGATTCTGATAATACCTTGCTAATGTAGTAGCCTGGCCGCTGTACCTTATCTACATGACCTTCTTCTTCTCGCTCTACCACGATCGCCGTACTGACCACACTAGTAGTCGCCGCAATATATAACATCAGGGTTTCTTGTTTATCTAGCGGAGTGAGGATTGGAGGGATTGTCAGATAAGTCTTCAGCCTCTCAAACGCTTTGTTTGCCTCGGTGTTCCACTCGAATTTCCCTGATTTCTTGAGCAGCTTGAAGAGAGGTAGGCCCTTTTCTCCAAGCCGTGAGATGAACCGATTGAGGGTGGCCATGCATCCTGCAAGCTTCTGGACATCCTTGATGGACCGTGGGGGTCCCATCTGAGTAATCACCTGGATCTGCTTCGGACTAGCTTCAATCCCACGGTGGCTTATGAGAAATCACGCCGTCCACGTAGGCTTCTACATTGCGGCCGATCTATGTCGATGCAAAAATCTGGTTAATGCACAGGACACATGACAAGCCTGGGAGATCTGCTTAGCTCCAATGCAGGTCCTATCTATTTTAGGGATCGCGGGCGTGCCAGTCAATTTGACCTATAATTGAAAAGGGAAAAATAATTAGTAGTTTAAGGTGCAACATGTCGGCCGTTGATCCAGACAGTTCCATGATCGGCTAAAGCGCCGATAAAGTAAGGCCATGGGCTATGGAGTCGATATCCAGCAGATTGTTATTATAATGCAAACTGAACGAACACCATCGGCTAAAATAGAGCATATACATGTATAAATAAAGTAAATCATGAAGCCGATGGATATAAAACATGGTAAACCATGAGAGCACAGGTCATCGGCTATAGAGCCGATGAAGCATAATGTGTAAACAATCCTCTATTCTCCTTATAAAGAAACCCATAAATTAACAAAATCTAATCTAGCGTCACCACCAATCAGGTCGAAACGATGCAGCGTTGGTAGCAGGGCGATAAACTAAAGATTGCTAGCCGATAGATCTATCTATAGAAAAATAGAGTATTGAAAACACACTATGGATGACTAAGATTAAGACACAACCAGCCGATGAAACAAATCTATCGTCAAGATAAAGATCAACGTGATAAGCAATAACACGATAGATTAATATGATATAAGCCGATGCACCTTAATCTAGTTAGATAACTTGTGATTTTACTAAATCTAGCAAGAGATCATGAGATGCAACCTTACTAAATGTAGTAAGAACGATAACTGGTGATTCTTATTAAATCTAGCAAGAGGTCAAAAGATGCAGCCTTACTAAACGTAACAGAATTGATAACTGGTGATTTAATACCAAATCAAGCAAGAGATCATAAGATACAGCCTTACCAGATTAGACACAAAATCGATAACTTGACTAATATCAGATCAAACAAGAGATCAAACTCAACTGATGCAGCCTTGTAAGATTAAATACAAGTCGTGACTAATATCAAACCAAGCAAGAGATCAAACATAACTGATGCAGCCTTACAAGATTAGATATAAGTCGTGACAATACTTACAAGCAAACCGGAGATCGAAATTGATGCAGCCCTGCTCACTGAAGAACTCGTCGAGATCTACAATACTCCTACTCCTAATGCAATGGCGTGAAGCTGAAAAGATGTTCTATTGATCAAGAGATAGCCCTATTACAATAGCTGGGGTTTATATTTATACCCTGGGCTTGACATGAGTCCTAGTCGAATAAGACTTAGCAATTCTTAAATGACAAGAAATACTCTAATTTATATATATTGGACTACACGATTTCCTTTTTGATGAAGTCTGACTCCTTTACTCTTTAGGCCAACGCCGTTTCCCATGCTGGCAGAGCCCATCTTCACTATGCCTAGGCCGATACTGCTGATGTCATGGCCTTTCAGATGCTTCCAACCGAGTCCTATTCCTTGACGCCCGAGCCGATGCCACATTCGCCACGCGTCTTCACGACACTTCCACATTCTGAATTTTGACGGTCCTTTCCAAAATCTGGTGCAAACACATGCCCCCCAATTTTGGGATAAAATATATTTATTCCAAAATTCTCTGCAGTAATTATTAATCTTGCCAACCGTCTCTCTCGACAAACGCGTGTGGCGCCTCATTTCTCAGGTTTCACGTTTGCTTCGATTCCTATGCCAAGCCGAACCCGCCTTATATTCACCCTCGATGCCTC